CATAGCAGTCTGGTACTATCAAAATGAAGATTTAACTTGGACCTGATTTTTAATTTAAAGAAAAGTTAAGGTGCAGAATTAGTCATGTACTAAAGAGATGATGCCTATGAATCCTTATGAGAATCAGGACCTAGAAAAAAATATCCTGTAGTCTCTTTGTTCAAAAGACACTAAAGAATTCTTTCTCTTCTCTCTCACTCTTGCTCTCTCTCCAGCTACATTTAATCAATGCCAATTACGCACCGGGTGCTAAGCTAAGGGCTTTACATGCACCTCATAAGCCTATGAGGTAGGTACTACTAATATACCGATTTTGTATATGAAGAAAAGCGAGGCTCAAAGAGACTCACAAAACTAGCCCCAAGTATAAAGGCATAAAAGCCAGAGAATCCACAGCCAAGCCTCAGGCATGATGCCATTCTTCCCTCTGCCCCACAGATCTCCTTTGTCTGTGTTGAACCACCTTGAATTTTGACCTCTGGAGCCAAAATTTTGACCTTGGAGCTTTGAATTTTGGCTCCTTGGAGTCAAAGTGATTTCTAAAATAGAACAACTGAGAGTCAATAATAAAGTCCTGGAAATGTTTAGAAGTGTTGAGTTAGGGCTGGTTTCTCCTCACCCGATCCTATATTTTTGACATAGGCCAGAAGAGAGCTAGGGGACATAAAGGTATAGTGCAAAAGGCATGGCTTCTGGATTGAAAAAGACTTGGATTTACCTTTCTGCTCTGCCTCTTAGTCACTGTGTGATGTTGAACAAAATCCTTAATTTTCCTCATCTGTTAAATGGGACTATACAGCCTTCCTTCCTAAGGTGTTGTGGCATCAAATGAAGTAACACATGTCGAATACTTCAGACAGCTCCTGGCACATGGAAAGCATCCAATGAAAGTTCCTAGTCCTGTTGGCAGCGGTGACATTATACATAATCCATCCATATGGCTATTTGGCTAGAATGATCTCAGGAAAATTCTTACCATTGCTATTATTCCTTAAATAGAAATATTAATATATATTATAGTTTCCTTCAAACATTAGATTATGTAGGGGAGCTAGCAGGGACTTGTTAATCAAATCAACCCACTGTCCTTAAAATGGTTTGGGTAAGAGCAAATGTTCAAATAAAGGTAAAGAAGCATCCAGAGTGGAAGCTACCTGGGAAGGCACAGATGGCAACAGGTAGGGAAAACCAAAAGGAAGGGCAAAAGTCCTGACTTTTTTACAGTTCTGTGCAGGCTGCCCCCACTCAGCTCATTTCTAGTCTCACAAGACAACTCACTGAGAGGTGAAAATAATGTTCATGAAAGCAGGTTACACTAAGGAGCAGTGTGAAAGTGAGAGATTATTGTTGTTATTATTTTGACTATGCAGCACAGATACTCAAACATATGTACCAAACATCTCTACCAGTGAAAATTAGGCTAGGTGTATTCAAAATTCATATGCAAGGCTTTCAGCCAGGAAACAGGTATGAAAAGGCAGCCACTCACTCTCGGTGAGTTGGGCCCTGACCACTGGCACTTGACTGGCTTCAGTAATGGGGCAGTGAGGACCTGAAACAGAGGCAGGGAAGGGTTTTCCTCACAATAGTGTCATATGTGCAGTGAACTCTGAGCTTAGGCATCCATTTCTAGTAGGACGTGACCCTGGGTTGGTATAACTTTGACTTCTAGAAGGCCAAGGGCACCAAAAGGAGATACTTCACTTCCCTTACAGGAATGCTGTGAGAAGTAAATAAAATAAAAGATGATGCCTATGCCCCAAGGCACATTTGGGAGCCTCACCTTCTCCAGCTGCAGAAGAACAGGCCTCCCCCAAGGCTGGATGGAAATCCTGAGCACCCAGGATTGCCATACCAGAGGCAAAGGGCAGGCTTCTGACATTCTATAGACCATGGATCAAACCCCAGCTCTGTCACTTACCAGCTTTAGAAAGCCCACTCTCATTCTTTTACTTACTCATTTTTCAGTGTCATATTTTTATGGGAAAAGAGATGGACAATGAATAAGCAGACAAACAAATGAGAAAATTTCAGATGAGGGTAAATGCTATGCACAAAATAAACTAGGTGATATCTTGTAGAATAATCTGGGGATGGAAAAAGCAGTTACAGACCAGGTGGTCAGGCAGTTCCTTTCTACAAGGAGACACCTGGCCGGGACAGGAGAATGAGGACCATCTTGATGTAGGATAGGTGGGCGAGGGGACTGCAAGCATGATGTCCCCAATGAAGGAAAGGCCTTGGGACTCTGGAGACCGAGAGAAGGCCAGCGTGACCATGGGGACTGTGTGACCATGTGATCATGGGCAGAGTAAAGGAAGGTGAAGTTCGTGAAGGATGCAGGGGCCAGATGGTACAGGGCCTTATGAGCCACAGGAGGGAAAGGGGCTTTATTCTAAAGACCACAGGACAGTTTCTGGCAAGAGAGTGGCCTGATCCTATTTCCATTTCAAGATGATGATTCTGGTGGCTGCATGCGCGTGTAGAGAGCAAGGTGGAAGCAGGAAAACCAGACAGAAAGATACAAAGCAATTTAGGTAAGAAATGATGGTGGCTTAGACTAGGGTGGTGGTTGGGGACACAGAGGTAAACATATCTGAGATGTATTTCAGAGGCACAACTGTAAAGGATTTTGTTTGGGGTACAGTGCCTAGGTAACAGCAAGAATAGGACTATATTAACTTTTTGAAACTTCAGTTTCTTCCCTTTTAAATTTATAAAGAGCAGCATGGTGAGTATTTTTAACAAACTGTATTGTATATTTGTAAGTCGCTCAGTGAGTAAATCTTAGAAGTTCTTATCACAGGAAAAAATACTCATTAACTATGTGAGGTGATGGATGTTAACTAGATGCACTGTGCTGATCATTTCACAATATTTACATATACCAAACCATTACACTGTGCACCTCAAACGCACGTCAATCATACCTCAATTAAGGGAAAAAACCAAGATTGCAAAGTCATTTAAGCGGTAGAATGGAGATTTGAAAACGGACTCCTCAGTCATTTCTTCTAACTGCTGTGCTAACCTGTCTCCAGAATGATGGAGAAGAGGCCTAGGAGGCCCAGGGAACACCAATCTATTTTGAGGAATGAGCCAGAGAAGGAGTCTCTGCAGAAGGGAAGTTCAAGCCAGTGACTGAATTAACAAAAGCGTAGGCAGAGGAAACTGGGAAAATGGCCCAAGGTGGAAGAGAGCAGCGTGTTCCAGGAATGGACTGCAATGTTATTAGAATGGTGGGAGTCAGAGGCGAGGCTAGGGAGGGGCTGATGTCAGAGCATGTGAGCCTTTTCCCAGAAGAGCAACAGGAAGCCAGAGGGTCATTGGAGGGGAGGCTCCTCATCACCACTAGGCTGCTCCGCAGAGCACAGGTCCAAGGAGTCAAAGGCGGATTGTAGGCGGGGCTAGCTCTTAATTTCAATTTTCAGAATCAAGTTAGAAAGCCGCAGTTCTCATCCAAGGCTGGCCTGGCACCTCTGGGGCCATATGGAAACATGTGGAAATAACGTGGGTTGTTGCTGCCGTTGCAGACGTCACAATCCCAATCATGTGAGGTGTGGCTGCCCACAGGGGCACCACGGTCCCTTCCAAATTGCCAAGGGGGCCCACATGGGGAAATCCTGCTATTGGCAAAGCTCGAAGTCTTCACTGCAGGAATAGAAATGTTTTAAGTCAATTCTGTGTACAAGCAAATGTATTGAGAGAACTGAGAGGTGGCGAGGGTAAGTGAGGTGAGCGGAAATAGAGGGGTGAAAATGTATTCACCATACATAGTGGAGTGTCACAGGACATGACCTGAAGTTGATGGGAGCAAAAACAGATGGTTAGGTGTATCATAGTCACAAAGGGAACCAAGAGAAAGTTAAAAATAAAAATACAACTAAAAAATTGTAAGGAGGATAGAGAAAACAAAAGGAAATAGTATAAATAAGCTAATTTTCTTATCTTTATTGAAGGGAGTCAGTAAATACTGCTAAGGTTGATGAATCAAGAAATGAGGCAGAAATAGAATATCTGGAATTATAGAGAAAAACATCAGAAAATCAGGGGAAAAACCTTTAGAAAAAGAAGTAGAATTGGAGTTTGAGTACCGGGGTGGCAAGGGAAACTTTGACTTTTCATTCTATTTCTTCTCTGAAATACCATGTGTATGTTTGTTTCCACCTATATATGTTATGTATTAGTTTTCTACCTTACTCAGTGCTGTCTGTATGAATGTCAAATGCTTCTCTCACTCTCTGAGAAACTGGTTCTGTTTAGCAGGGACCTTCCAAAAACTACTCACCAGTTTCAGACAAGTGTCCAGAGTTTGCTTGTGCTGAACTGTACCGTCTCCTCATCAGCTCCGGGACTGAATTCATACTAGCTCCTTCTGAGGCTATAAGAAGTTCCTTGCCCCCACTGGATCTAGATCAAATTTTCCTGGAGTAGATGGGTAGGATTTGTGTGGTTGCTGGGAGGGTTGGAAGTCAGTCAAAGAAGAAAAGGGCAAAGTCTCTGGGGGCATCCTTAGCTGCTGGGTGGCTTCCTCCCATTCCATGGGAGTCAAATAAGATCAGGGACTGACACTTAGGAGCAGATAAATGACTAACAACCCACGTTTTGTGAGTAAAGGATGAGGGGCTGGGGGAGGGGGGAGAGAGGAGTCAGGTGGGTAGTGCATGAGAGGAGTTAGGATCTAGCACGACCTGAACCTTTACCCTCCAAACACCAGCTCAGCTGGTCCTCTGTTCATCTTTACTTTTATATGTCCAGTGGTAGAACTGCTCTATTTTTCTGTATAACCATTCTGTGAGGCAGTGAGATTGTACTGCTGTTAGCTGTTTACATATTTGTATCTTAACATTCTATCATCTGTGATCTCATTCTCAAAAGTAGAATCTGAGCCTCATCATCTTTATATCCCTTACACTGAACTTACACCTAATAAATTATGGTTGAATAAAAGAATAAATGAATAAGTAAATGAAAGTCAAACAAGTGAATGAAATGCTTGTTATACTTGCCCTCTTTTAAAACATTAGCAACAGAGGGTGTGGAGTACAGTAAAAACTCTATTATGTGCATCCCTGATTGTATGGATCAGGTACGTGTTTGATGTGTGAGTGTTACCATAAGTACCTGAGAGAGTTAAATAATTGGTAATGGGGACTACCCATTTAGTCAGCATGAAAACATTAAAAGCAGTGCCTAGGAGAATGTGGTAAAACTTCTGTGCTTATATTCTACTATAGGTATCACAAATTGGTTTGACTCTTTTAGAAATCAGTAAGTCAAGGAGGCTTTCATGTCATTATAATCATCATTTTTTCTTGCCTAGCAATGGGAAACATTTTTTTTTTGGTAAATATTTTCAAAGATCTTTGATTAATCATTGTAAAGATTTAATCATGGCCTGGTGTGTATTCTAATGGACTAAGAGTAACCAAGCAACATCATGATGGGGATGATGTACAAAATTTCTTTGCTAGGAAGTTATAGACAAAGCTATGTTTCTGTCCAAATGGTTATAACTAAGAGAAATTTGGACCATGAATGTGTATGAAGAAAGTTCTGCTCTGCTCTGTATATCTTCTTCGGGAGCCTAGTTATGAACATGATCAACTGAACCAGCCATTCTTCAATGATATATCTATTGAGCTTCCATTGTGTGAGGCATCTGCTTGAAGGAAGGGACCGTCTTTCTTGCACAGAGGGTGCATGAGGGAGATCTTCTCACCAACTGGCAGGTGAAACAAAATGGGTTTTCCCATTCTAGTTGTAATCTGGGTTGTATTAATAGTTGACAGAATTCATCATATCTGTTAAGCTTCCTTAAGTTTATGAGCTGTAAATTCAAGAGATCACAATTTTCTTTTGCATTTCCTTTGCAATAAAGATCTCTTTGTTTTCTTACTTCTATCAAATAAGCTTCTGATGGTTCCCTTATGTAAATTCTTTCTGTCTGAGTTGGCTCTCATATTTTACTGAGCTTCCCCATCCTGTGTTCAGCTAGAGGTTTAGGGTGCTGACCTTAAGACCTCAATGTAGAACTTTATTCACATATTCTCTCTCTTTGGACTATTCTCAGGGAATCTAAGAATTAAAAAACAAGCAAACTCCCTATGTGGCCATGATTCCAAGAGGCAGAAAACTGAAAAGAAGTGAAGGATATAACTCACACATGCCTGGGGACAGGATGTGAGGGTGGGGCTTTCAGCTTGAACAGAAGAAAAACAATGCATCAGCAGTTGAAAATAATTAAACAGAAACTCATTAACCCAATCCAGTGACCGGAAATTGCAGAAAGAATCTACTGTACCTTGGTACGCATGGGCTTTTTAAAGGTGATTTCAGCTTGCATCCAAACGCCTCTTGGGGACTCCAGGACAGACCAGATCTTGTCTTGAACCACATGATTCTCTTCAAAGATATAAACTGCTAGGGTGTCACTCATTTTAAAAAATCCATAGATGGCATAATAAAAACGCAAACAATACTGCAGGTTTCCTGGCAGGGAGGGACCGTAGAGCCTTCCAATGTAGCCAGGCTGTGATGTAAATTTTGTGTTGGCCAGCAAGAAATAACCTGTGAATAGGACAAAGCTTTCAGTGCATCAGCAATGAAAAACCTAAGTAATTTAGCCCAGATCATCAACTGGGAAAATTTGGTTAAAGTAGTGGAATTTGCCAAAAGAGATTACTCTATAGGCTTTAAGTGATAGCATTTAACAACGTCTGTGGCTTAGGGGATAGAAAATATCTGTGTGACTCTTTTGTTAATAAACCTATTTTTGCTAATAAATTTTAAGGTAACTTCATAAACCAGTATAGATTTCCAACTGCATATGCTCAGGTTTTAGCCATCAACCAGGATTTACACTTCTTTTTTTTTTTTGGCCATGCCATGCGGCTTATAGGATCTTAGTTCCCTGATCAGGGATGGAACCCTAGCCCTTAGCAGTAAAAAGCAAAAACAAAAACATGGAGTCCTAACCACCAGACTGCCAGGGAATTCCACAACCTTTCATGAAACAAAAAGGAAGAAATCGTCTTGTGGTTCTCCACTTTTTGGACAGAGCTGACAGCTAGACTGAGGAGCACTGGGTTACAGAGAACGCAAGGACCAGAGCAGATTTTCCTATCATCTCTGCAATGACCAGCGGGGTGGGAGAGGTTGCAGGGCCTGGCAGTCCTCGAGGGTGAAGGGTAGGGGTGGTTTATGTATCCAGGCAGAGCCTACTCTCTTGGTCATATATTAAACTGGGTCCTAAAAAGCAGGGTTTTAATCAGATAGACCCTCCCAGGTGCTGAATATCTGATTTTCCCCTATTTCTTTTAAATAACATGAAAAAATAGGATCAAGAACCTCCCCTACCACCTGTTCTACCACCCCCATGGTAAACTTAAGACAGGTCCCTGTGTCTTACAAAGATGGGGCAGAAAGAAAAAGCCTAATACTGTACTTTTTTTTTCCCTTTCCTTTTTCTGAGGCTCCTCCATCAATTCTCTTTTGGGAGCAGTCTTTGGTATATAGTTTAGTTTTATTTAATCTGGCAAAAGCGTCTTTGGTAATTTTATGAATGTTGTTATGGATTGAATTATGTCTCCCCCACCCCCACCCCAATTCAGATGCTGAAGCTTTAACCCCCAATGTGACGGTATTTGGTGATGGGGCATTTAAGGAGGCAATTTAAGGTTAAATGAGGTTACAAAGGCTTTAACACCTATGCAACTGGTGTCCTTATAAGAAGAGGAAGAAACAACATCTCTCTTTCTCCCCGCCCCCATCTCCCCCTGTGCACACAGAGGAAAGGCCATGTGAGGACACAGTGAGAAGGTGCCTTGTCCAAGTCAGGAAGAGACATCTCACTAGAAACCAACCCCAGCGGTGCCGTGATTGTGGACTCCCCAGCCTCCATAGCTGTGAGAAAATAAACTGCTGTGTAAGTCACCTAGTCTGTGGTATTTTGTTATGGAAGCCTGAGCAGACTGACACTGGTAGGCATACATCAGCCAGGGCAATCTTTTTTAAGTCTAAATTTAATCCTTCACTGCTCCACTTAAACCTATCAATAGCTCCTCATTTCCTTTGTACTAAAATCCCAGTTGCTTACTCTGGCCTGCCACATCTATGGTCTACTTCCCTTTCTAACTTCATTTTACTTTACTTTCCTCTCAATGGTGCAGCCACACTAACCTAATTCCTGGCAGTGTCCGGCTCTTTCCAAACTCCAGGCCCTCACAGATGCTGTTCCCTCTGCCTGTGTTGCTCCCATCCTTCCAGCTAAAACCCACTTCTCTGAATCTCCAATCAAAAGGAGGTTCTTTCCTTTATTCTCTCTCAGCTCACTCTTTATTTCCTTCTTAGCACACACCACAATTTGTAATCATGAGTCTATCTGTGTATATGTTTGTTGTTTCTCTTGCCCACTGAAATAATGGTCAGCCAGTGAGGGTGGGATATAGACCTGATTTGTTCACTATCATATCCCCCAGGGGTGAGGCTGGCCAAGGTCAGAATAGGTTTTTATTCTGTAATTCTTTAAGTTTTGCAACCTCTAAGCAAAGAATACAAAGTTATAAGTATAAAATTGCAAGGGCCTGGTGAAAGTGAGGGGCCCTGAAACAAGCTTCATCAACTTTCTGGTAAGTCACCCCCATACCCAGTATATAAATATTAATTAGACAGTAACCCTTTGAGAACAAGCCCTTTCCCGTAGTCTCTACTGGAGTGGACTTTGCATGGGCTGTCTTTTTGGCGATAGATAATCCTTACACAAGGGGAGCTCACACTGATTTCTAAGAGCTTCCTGTAGGCCTATCCATCAAGTGCCCACCCAATATTTCCCAACAGCTGTGATAGCTTTTATGTCCCACTATGTATTATTTACTGCAATAAAACACATATAGTGCAAATTTTAGCATTTTAACCATTTTAAAGAGTACAATTCAGTGGCATTTAGTACTTTCACAATGGCTGTGCAGCCACTATTACTCACTTTCAGAATATTTTCACTACTCATAAGGAAATTCTATACCCATTGAAGAGTCACTCCCCACCCCCTCTCCCTAGCCCCTGGCAACCACTAATCTGCTTTCTGTTTCTACGATTTGCCTATTCTGGATATCTCATGTAATTGGAATCTAATAGGTTTTTAAAGGTACTTCTCTATCTAAAGTGAAGAGCAATATCCAAAGGTTTGACTGCTTAATTAACTGGTACATACATCTGCTAGCACAACAACTTGAATTCCAGTTTTGAAAAACGGTCATACCCAAGATTACCTATTGTCTTTGTTTCTTCACAGCTGTCCCCACACCCACCCCCCTCTTTCAAGCTGGTGTCTTGGTGAGAACAGCTGGGAAATGGAGCATGAAGACTAATCCCCAACCCCACCCCCACCATGACATCCCACACAACAAACTCTGATTTACCTAGGCCTGAAGTGTGGTCTCCTGCCTGAAACATGTTTGGTTTTACTTTCACTCGGGTCCAGCCTGAACCTTCTTTGTCTTGGTAAAAGTTGCAGAGGTCTTCCTCAAAATTGCAGCTTGCTTCTAGGGCACTAAAAGGACGCTCTGAGCAAAGGAGAATCAAAGGTAAAGTAGGCTAAACCCAAGAATCTCAAAGAATGACAATTGATTGACAAATATGTACACATTTGTACTAGGGGAGCTTGGAGAAGCAACACACAACAAAAATATTTTTACCCTAATGGCATGCTGACAGGTTAGCATCAAACCCACGTTTCAGCATGACAAGAAAATTGTTCTTTTCCTCCCTAAATGGGTAGAAAGAAGGAGCTCTGTTCACATTCTCTACAAAAAACCCAAAGTATCAGACTTCAAAAGAAATTTCCTTCCCTGATATAAAGACTGATAGAATTTACGCATATACTTCTTCACAATTCATACAAAATTAAGAGAAAAAGTAAGGATTTTATAGAATTCTTAATTTCTTTCTGACAGATATGTAGAAATAATATTTTCCAGAAATAATTTTCCTTTGTTGATCAATCTCTATGTCAGAAGCACAGCCACTGTCTGTTTATAATTGACATGAGTAGTAGAAGCTGATCTGCTGGAAGAGAATCATTATTCAGTATAAATCACACTGTTCAAACACCAATTCTGTCACTGGTTCTGCTTTTATTTTGGCTTTTGCTGAGTTCTGGTGTCATTTACTCTGTATAAACATCACCTCGTTCCAGATTGCCTGGAGGAAATGCAACATAAAAGGTTCCTGCTCTTTCAAAAATAGCGTGGTCCTGGCAACAAGTAAATGTAAACCTCACTGTTCATATTGCCCACCGAGTCCAGAGGGGATGAGACGGCTGCAGTCTGGGACACACTCACTGTAGCCAAGTATAATCTTATTCTGTATGCTGACATATACTGGCTTAACCTTTCAGGGCCAGAGACAGCACTGTTTTGAATAAGCAGAAAATTATCTCTAGACTCAGTGGTAAAGAATTTGCCTGCAATGCAGGAAATGCAGGAGGCAAGGGTTTGATCCCTGATCCAGAAAGATCTCCTGAAGGAGGAAATGGCAACCTAATCTAGTAGTCTTACCAGGAAAATTTCATGGACAAAGGAGCCTGACAGGCTAACAGTCCACTGGGTCACAAAAGTGTTGGACACAACTGAGTGACTAAGCACACAGTACCTTTTAGGGCCAGAGATAGCACTGTTCTGAATAAGTGGAAAATTATCTCTAGAGAAACACTTGAGTTCTAGGTAAGGGAATCTGATGAAACAGAGAGTTGTTTAGGGAAAAAGACTCATTATTCTCTCAATTTGTCAATATTCAAAGCCAGAAAACAATCCAGTGGTTTGAGGAGCTGGCCTAGCTAAGTGGATGAAAGACACATGACAACCAAATGCTACAAGGGATCCGAGACTCCATCTTGGTCTAGGAAAACAAACAGCTATAGAAGACTTTATTTGGGCAATTGGTGAAATTAGCATATGGACTATAAATTAATTGATAATATTGTATCAGTGTTGAATTTCCAGAATTTTATAATTATTCCATAGCATGCTGGAGAATGTCTCTGGTTTTAGAAAATACCTAATGAAGTATTTAATGGTAAAAGGACATAATATCTATAACCTATTCTTAAATGGTTGATAAAGCAAATGTAGATTTGGCAAAATCTACATTTGTAGATCTGGGTGAAGAGTATACAGGAGTTCCTTATCATAATCTTGGAAATTGTGTCAGAGTTTAAAATGATGCAAAAGTAAAGAGTTTTAAAAATGCTGAATTAAAAAGAAAAGTAAGTGACTAACACCACAATACAAAAAAACAATAGGAAGAAAATGTTCTTACATAACTGGAATCTGAGTATATCTGAGACAATATGCCTTAGCAACTGTACAAGGAGAGGCCCCTGAAAAGCTAGCCAGAAAGAAAGGAAGAGAATTTTCAGCACTCTAAGACTGGTGGTAACCCACTGCTCTGCCTGACTCTGTCAGCATCAAGTTGAATCTTGAAGCTGTGAAGATAAAGTCATGAAGATATACATTTGAAAATGATTATGATAACATACAAGCAAGGATCCTTTGACATCCCCCCTCAGAAATTTGAGCCCATGGGAAACCCCATAATGGTCTTCAGTCTTAGTCACCCCTCTGCCACCTGGTAATGAAAAAGCAGATGGAAATTCAGACCTACAGATAGCCATTCAGCTCAGAAAATAGGGCAGCACTCCCAAAAACCATGGATAAAGAGAGTGGAAGGTCAGTGACATTATTTATCAGGAATATATCCAGAGGAATATCTACCTGGGCATCCAAAAGAGATCCATAACCCATTTCCTTGGTGTGTGGGAGGAGGTGAGAGGTGATAGTAAAACTTGTAAGTAAGCAAGACTCTGTTGTTTCCATAGTGACAAACTGAGTCAAACAGAGATTTTTCTGAGGACACAGTTATATTCTTTTTCTAAACACTTAGTCCTAGCAGTGGATTTGTTGGGGGTCCTGAGACAGTCTGATACAAAAAAAAACAACCTCAAAGCACAACTCAAAACCTAAATCTTTTTCAACTAGAATGCTTATTCTAGCATGAGACACTATGTAATTCCTGAAGATGGGGGCCAGAGGGCTTATGTATGACCTAAAGTGAGATACCCAAAGATTTGGGGTTAATGAAGAGCCTTTGCTTCAGGCTTGTTTCAGAAGAATGTGTCAAGTGGCGATTGGATTTGAGGAGCGTTAATAACATATTTGAAGCATAGGAAGGAATCAGAGGAAATTGGAAGCTCCAGAGCATCAGTTGATCACCCTGTCCCATCAAAAAAAAAAGTTCTCTATGAGCATCACAATGTACCATTTAGTTAATTACTTGATTTCCAATGTTTGAACTTTTTAGAATCAGGAGGCTCTGAAGATAAACTAATCTGATAGAGGGTATTGCCGTTTGAGAAGAATGGTTGGGAATATTTCTCATCTTTTCCTCTGCTTCATGGAGTTCAGAGATGAACTTAGTATCAGTCCTTGAGATCTAAGAGGATTATCAGCTCCTGTAGTGCTAGAGGGACTTTGGGTGTGGTGCTCGTTAGACTGTTAGACTTGCGCAGTAGCTCTTATTTTAGCACAGGCCAGCCTGAAAGCAGGCTGGGACAGCTCAAAGCTGGCAAGGAAATACAGTGAGTGGGACCTAGCCCCAGACTGAGGAATCAGGATGGAGCAGGGCTGGGCCGCTGATCAGGCTGTGGAGATGTTTGAAGGCCTCTGAGTTAAGGAAGACTGTAATATCTGCAACTGTAGCCTAGGCAACAACTGGAGCCGTGTTTCCAAACCAGACAAGAGGTCTAGGCAGTGTGTTGTTGGCGAATGGTCAATTTGGGGACTTAAGCCCACACAGACATCCTTTTAGAGGTATATCTGTGAGTGTCAGTATCCTCCCAGAGCCTGGCCTGGGTGTGGGGTGAATCCAAGGTCAGAGAG